TTGCCCGCAGCAATGATTGTTGCTAAAAGACTCAATAACGAATGAACACTATGCTTTGCCTGGCGTGGCACGTCCTCACCCACCCATCGGATTCACCCCACTTTTCGACGCCCAATCAATAGAAAATAAACTCCTATATCATACCTTTCTTTCGTCTTTAAATCGATAAAGAAATAAAATTCCTTAGCACCTTTTGAAAACCCTACGTCCTGCTATGACACAAAACATCAGTTAACTAGTCTTGGCGAGTCTATGACCTAGACTAGACAAAGAAATCTTTAAAAACCTTTGTAATAATAACCTTTTAAATGCACTCTTATTTAAAAGATAAAAAATAAAACAAACTTTCTTTCTTTAATAAAATTTCGGAGACGAAAGAAACCCTGATTTTCAATCAATCAATCACCGCTTAACCCTTGTTGTTGTCGTTGGGCACCACTGTTGATTTTCTCGTAATTTCCCGCCATATTTCTCAGTCTTCTGCTGCTCTGGGTAGTTCTGCAACAGCCAGACCAATCATTGACGTCCTCCACCTAATGACGTCTTTGTCTTCCCATTTTCTTTCCTGTCACCTTGTTCTATATTATTGTATCTTCGTATAAGGCCGTTGGCTTGTATTGCCAGCCCATTCCTTGTTTTCACTCAACTTGGAAAATTCTCAGAGTGACCAATTGCAGTAGTGATCCTTTTACGCGCCTCTTCATTTGTTATGTGACATCTTTGTGAGATCACTCCGAAAAATTCTCATTTCCAGGTTATACCAAATCCACATTAACCTATTGAGTGCTACCCTGAATTTACTGCGTTGAAGTAATTTATTTTCCTTTCAGCCAAAGGTTTAGTGATATATTTATTTGTTATTTCTATTAGGTTCTAATTATATTATTATTTTTAAATTGGATTTTAAATAGGATCTTCCAGATCGAGATTTTAGCTAATTATTTTTTCTTCTTTTCTAGCTGGCCGGAAAAAGATAACAAAAATAGTATAAAATAAAACGCGCTTACAAGTGGATTATAAATTGTTTTGTATGGTTGGATTGGTTGTGTGGTATTTAATTTAATAAATCGGAATTTCTTTGTAATGTGTTCATTATTCTTACCTTTATGTGCCTGGAAAAATCAATTTTCATTGTATAAGGAAATTTGAGTGAATAAAGTAATTAGGGATAATTATAATATAAAATATATAAGTTATTTGACTTGGTAGGCGGAAGTTCATGTGTGTGTGTGGGGAGGGGATGGAGTGGAGCTGGGGTGAACACAGTTTGGTAATGTTTTGTGTGGCGCAGTGCAGCCGACAGACCATTTACCAACGGAAAACTGGGTCGTCTAGTCTAATTTAAATCTTAAAACAGAAAGGTTGTGCACTGTTACTGACAAGAAAATGCACCTACTTATGCAACTTTGTGACAAACGAAAGCTTAAATTTTCCTTTTTTTTTTGCACCGTGAAATATGTATCCTGTTCTTCCACGGTGAATACTTTCATAATTTTAACATGTTTAATCTTTTTCGCAATTTTCAATAAATAAAGGCTACACTTTTTTTACTAAGAATAATCAAATGTTTGAACATGTAGCCCCTTTTCTTAATCAGCAAGCGCTGTACTTTGGTTACGGCTGTGCTCTAGTAAATGATACAATTCACAAAACATACGTAGATCCTAGACCTCACCCTAACGTTGATAGACCCTCAAGTATGTCTGGAGCTGTACAACCACGTTGATGTTGATAAACCATAGAAAGGAAACATTACTAAGATGTTAGAAAAAAAGTAAACAAAAAACCATAAAGATGACATATGGTGTTATGTAGAGTTGTATAAGGTAGAGGTTGCGACAATGATAACGATTAGAAATATTGTGTGATTTTTTTTTCTGTATGCTTCTTTTCAATTTATACGGAGGATAGAATGAATAAGTTGAAAGAGGTACACACAAAAATACGTTTTTACAATTCAGAATTGTTACCCATGATAATGTGACGAACTAGTTTTCTCTATTTGGTGAGTGTATGTGGCTTCTAGATATGTTCTATAATATGGGTGAGGAGTGTATGTGGCTTTTAGATATGTTCTATAATATGGGTTGGGAGTGTATCTAGATATGTTATATAATATAAGTGCGTGTATCTAGATATATTCTATAATATGGGTGGGGAGTGTATCTATATTGTTATATAATATGGGTGGGGAGTGTATCTAGATTGTTTTATAAAATAGGTGTGTCTATCTAGATATGTTTTATATTTGTGGGGTGCTTCTAGGTTTGTTATATTACATGAGTGGGTGAAGTGGGTGTCTACAAAACCCGTTGTATTATATGACTGGGTGTCGAGAAATAAGTCATGTCTTGGTGTAAAGTCATGTGTGTAAGAGAAGAGCCCTATGTTATAGGCCCTACTCACTAGGGAGTCCCGTGTTAGGCCCATAAAGGCCCTAACACGGGGTAAAACATTAATGTGCACACACACACACACACACATCTTTTGCTTACATAATTTGTATAAAACTTTTTAAAAATTTACAAATTAAAAAATGAAATAATATTTCAAATGTTTGCTTACATAATTTGTAAACAAAAAGTTTGCCCATAATTTTTAAGAAGACAAGCATCAACCTTGTTACGTAAAAAAAGTCTTATGTAACGAGGAAAAGTGCATCACAAATCTTCTCTACATATCTCAGCAGCGGCGACATGTAGACCCTATTACCTACATTTAATTGTTATGACACATTATATGTGTATGTTTCGTAAGGATACGTGTGTTTAAAATCTGCCCCCCACTCCCCCCCCCCCCCCCTACACACAACAACCTAGAAGTTAAGACGCCTGACCTTTTTGTTGGTGTTGTCAACAATTCAAGAAAACAAAACATTGGACGATCTTGAAATATGGACAAGAAATAATATTTTAAAACTATGTTAATTTGCTGTAGATGTTTGAAATTCCTTTTAAAATACCATTATGTGTATTTGATAAGATTGAATGAAATACTTGCTGATCAGTGGCGAAAGGGGGGGTGTTTACGGTGCGTACATGCTGCTGATGCCCTTAATTAAACGACCAAAACAACACCCAAAATGTGTACATGTGTACATATGATATCTGGTGCACACACGTATTAAATCTACATGCCCTCAAATTAAACGAAAAACAAAGCACGTTTAATAATCTGAAGAACGTGAGGGGCCCTACACAACTTCTGAGGCTCGACTTAACCGCACCACACCTGCTACTGACTTAAGACAATTATGACCACTACAATTAAGGACACCTTTAAATAACGACAACTGCCGTTAGTGATTACCATTGAGAACCAAATTGATACCCTAATTAAGACAAGCAAAGCATCTGACACTATGACAACTACAATTAAGTTCAACTATTTATAAAGATAGGTGATGATTGAGAACTAAATTGATAGCTGTACCCTTACAAAATTTCAGAAGACATCTGAAATTTTGTAAGGGTATAGCTACTAAATATGATACAATACCTTGATCATACGGATACATCTAATCCATTGTTACAGAAAATTCATCACCACTTAACTTTACTATCTTCCAGGCCTGTCAACTCCTCAACACTATTGTGTTTCTTGTTGTGTAAAATATCTGTTTTGATGGAGTACTCAGATAAAGACACTATTGATCTATGTGCCCGAGGTTCACTGTGCTGGATGTGCTACTTGACCAAATCACAGTTGATATTCTTCTGTACGTGAATGTCATGTCGATAAAATCAATCGGGAACCAAAAAAATGTCTCAAGTGGGATTTTGTTAAAAGGTCAATTATGTGTTATACGATATCGATGATGCGAAAAGGGCATTAATTACGGAATAATATGATTTTATCTAATTAACTTCTCTCATCTTCAGGGCTTCATTCTGATATTTTGTCCTCCTGATGGGGGGTGGGGGCATTTGGAACTTTCGGGAAAAGGCGGGGGGGGGGGGGGTGCAGCTCTCGAGAGGAGTATTTGAACCTTCTGGGGGGGGGGGGGGGGCAGTGAGTTTTTGAAACTAAATTCATGTAAATTCATCAGAAGAGATACAATCAATATTTTTTTTCTTTTTCGCTCCGAATAGATATTTGAAAGAAATCTCTCTCTGTCTGTCTTTCTCTATGTCTCTATCTCTCTCTCTCTCTCTCTCTCTCTCTCTCTCTCTCTCTCTCTCTCTCTCTCTCTCTCTCTTTCTCTCTCATACACATCATACGAAAGTATGAGAAACACACAGTTTGATAGGATTTAGAAGCAGACATTGAGGCAGAAATAGCAATAATGACTTGTCTTACTTAATCGCCTAAACTAGACTAAAGTACTAACAAATAGATACCATAGACACAGATTAGTACATATTTCCACAGAACTGACAGAGATAACATCACTTTGAACTTCCCCCCCCCCTAACTTGAGTTTAAACATTGAGTAGATTTTGTTTCGCATTTTTGTGTGCACTCATTAACATCAAATAGAATTTGCGCCTTGCTTATTTTGCAAAAATCCATGTGTCAATTCAAGTTTTTTTGAACGAATGAAATTGCATTGAGCAAACTATTTCATCATTTGTTGTTTTTTACAATAGAGGAAGAGAGATCGGTTTGGAAATTTAAAAAAAAAAACAACGGTAGGCTGACGTAACAAAATCACATTATTTATTTATTTATTTATTTTTCATGCATAATTATTGTTATGATATAGGTTAAATATACTTGGTATAGATATAAATATTTATAATTATATAGTAAATATAGTAAAAAATGATTTAAAAAGACATAAACATATATATATATATATATATATATATATATATATATATATATATATATATATATATATATATATATATATATATATATTTATATATTTATATATGTATATATATATATATATATATATATATATATATATATATATATATATATATATATATATATATATATATATATATATATATATATATATATATATATATATATATATATATATACTTCTTGTAAAAAAAGGCAATAAAATATACACAAATTTGAATTGATATTAAATAAAATACAAAACTGAAATTGACTTCGTCACCAATAACAGGTAATGTTGGCAAAAAAAGTATGTGCATAATATTTTTGGGGACGATTTCAAAACGTTTACCCACAACATAATTAGACTGACCATGTATACGTCTATTTATTGCGAGCATCAACATTCTTTTCCAACTCGTCCATTGCATAAACCATGGGATATAAATATCTTACAACAGTCGAAACTTGTGGCACACCCACACACAACGTACAAACCAACCACAGCTAGACAAAACATCATCATTTTACACAAACATCATCATCACCATTCTATGACCAACAGTCTCACCAACAAGAACCATTAAAGCTTTTTGATTGTTAAATAATTTAAATAAATACATTCAGCTTTATGGACACAAACAATACCAGCAGTTGGTGGGTGCCTTCATCAGACAGTGGGTGTCCCCTTAAGAAGTGGGTTCCCCAACAAGGCTTGGCTGCCCAATTAAAATGTGGGTACCCCATCAATGAGTGGGTGTTCAGCTCAATGTGTGGGTGCACCATCAAGGAGTGGGTACCATATCAAGGAATGGGTGTCCCCATTACAGTGGGTGTTCCGCCCAATGTGTGGGTGCCCAATCAATGAGTGGGTGTTCCGCCCAGCGTGTGGGTACCTCCTGAAGAAGTGGGTATCCCACTCAAGGAGAAGTGGGTACCCCCATCATGAAGTGGGTGGTGTGTATTCTCGTTAGACGAAGTGGGACGGTAAGTTTATCTATCAGCAGTTAGAAATCGGCGGAGGAGGCATGCCATTAGGACGTGGGAAGGGGAGGGGGTGCTCCAATGAAAGTTTTGGTCGATAAACGGTTAATTGAGAGTAGAGGGCTCTGAGCTTCAGCAAAAAGGGGGTGTGACATGAAAGGCTCCCAGTGAGAGCCATGCTGCCATCACAGTAGGGCAGAGGCGTAGCGAAGGGGGGGCGGGGGGGACATATGTCCTCGGGCGCCGACCTTAGGGGGCGCCAAATTGAAAGTATGAGAGGGCGTGCAAATGAAAAGTTCGAGGGGGGGGGTGCAAATCGAAAGTTTGTCCCCGGGCGCCGGGAGGGGTCGCTACGCCTCTGCAGTAGGGGTGGGGGGCCAAAATCAGTTAAACCCACTCTTGTTGAGATTTTCATCAAAGTGGCTAAGGATGGGCATGACAATATACGTGTGCATGTAATCTTTTTTAAACTGATTTTTTTAAAAATAATTTATCAAACAATATTTTAATATCGTTTGTCATCATGAAGATCCATTTAGAATTGAAAAAAAAGATTACAAATAAAAAGAAAAATAACACAAAACCTATACAATTTTTTTTACATCAGTTAAAAAAAATACCTGTGAATTTTTATTCTACTGTCCATTTGTATTACATACCGTATTTTAAATCACCTCAAATGTTCTACTTAACATTAAAGATTGGAGATGGGGGTAGGTGGCGTGTCGGCAGGCAAGTAGCCGAGGCTAGCATCGTTTTCAAACGCCTTGTTAACGTGCGTGGAGCTACCATTGGTGACAGCAGCATGCGAACCACCATTGGTCACACCAGCATGCGAACCACCATTACTCTGCTCCACCTTCCCATTTGAGATGGCCCTGACCGGCTCGACCTGACTGTGGCCGTTGTGTTTGGACGGACTGTACTGGCTGGGACTGTCGTCTTCCAGGTCGACGTGGGTAGCGGGGCCGATGAAGGAGAGGATGACAGGGATGAGGAAGACGGCGTGGAGGACGCCGAAGCCGATGACGAGGAGCATGATCTTGAAGAAGGACTGGAAGATGTAGGACTCGGTGAAGAGCAGGACGACCACGCCGATGATGGAGGAGATGCCGCCGTTGAAGATGGGGCCGGAGGCGTGGACGATGGCGTCACGTGACCGGTCCTCCCGGGTCCGCTCCTCGGACACGATGTAGGCCGTGCACACATGCGCACTAAAAAAAAATTGCAAATTTACAAATAAAATGTACTTTAAAGTTTCTATCATTTTTTTTTAAATCGTAATTTTAAAAGCCAATAGTCGATAAGTTAAAAATTTTTTTTATAAAATCGAAACAGTTTGAAAAAGTTACGAAAACATACATATCATGAAAAGTTTAGTTTCAAAATGAGTTAGACGTGATGGTTAATTTTTACAAATATGTTTGAAACCTGTTGACAAACTTACGAGCCACCTACCCATAAATAACCTAGAAAGACTTCCTTATTTTCATTAAAAATTATTCAGAACAAGACGTAAATGTATCTTGATAATCACACATTTAAAAATTCTGTGTTTTATGACAAACACTCGAATCATGACAAACACATTAATAAGACTGATTTGTATCACGACAAGCACATGACATGTGACAAACTAACTTGTTTTAGGACAAATATTCATACATGACTGACTCGAATCTTGACAGACATACATGACCAACTATTGTGTTTTATAACAAGACTGACTTGTATCATGACAAACACCCATGACTAAACGAATGTGTTTTATAACAAGACTCGCTCGAATCATAACAAACACCTATGACTAAAGAATGTATTATATGACCAACATACGGCACAAGACTGACTTGTATCATGACAAACATCCATGACAAACATCTATGACAAACATTCATGATAAACATCCATGACAAACATACATGACAAACATACATGACAAACATCTATGACAAACGAATGTGTTACATGACAAACATCCATGACAAACGGACTTGTTATATGACCAATATCCAGCTGAAGACTTATATCATGACAAACACCTATGACAAACGAATGTATTACATGACCAACACCCAGGACTGACCAGAAGTCGACAGAGAAGCCGACACTCATGATGAGATGTATCATGGTGACCGAGCTGAGGGTCAGCCCCCAAAGGGCCATGAACCCGAATATCCCGGTCACAATCATCACCACCTGCACCATCACAATCACCACAATCAGGGGGTGGGGCAGGAAGATGCAGGTCACCAGGAACATAACTGTAGATTGAAAAAATAATTACAATCACTGTTTATGTAACTGTTAATACATCCACTGTTTATGTAACCTATCCAAGGTTAAAATAAAACTCTCCAACTGTCTTAAAATATATCTGTAACGGCCCCGGAAAGTCAACAGTAGTTTCTAGATATTATTTCCGTGGTAGATATGACTAGCTCGGTGTAGTTTTTCTAAAGGACTTTTGCATTAACAAGATTAGGAAGAAAGAGACAAAAAGGATTCAGTAGAAAGGGTGTAGGTCTAATGTTTCATATCTAAGCGCATTTTGAGTGCTAAAAAGTGCGCTACTGCATATTCAGATGCACAATGTAAGCTGCACAGTGCAAGTACTCATATAGGTGGGATTGTTCTAAAGGTTCAAAGTGCAAAGGGGTTTATCCTTACTGTGTATGTTATATTTGATTTTCGACAAAATATAATTTTTTCATTGTTAAGGAACTAACAAATTACCCAAACAACCAAATGCCGATATAACAAAATGCCCTTAAACCACATGTTCATATGACAAATTGCCCATACAACTTAATGCCCATATTCCAAAATGCCCTTCAACCAAATCCCCATCTAACCAAAGTCCCATCTAACCATATGCCCATATAACCAAATGCCCATCTAACAATATGCCCATCTAACCAAATACTCATCTAACCATATGCCCATCCTATGCCTATCTAACCATATGCCATCTAACCAAATGCCGATCTAACCAAATGCCCATCTAACCAAATGCCCATCCTATGCCCATCCAACCAAATGCCCATCCTATGCCCAACCAACCAACCTGCTAGTGTGACACCGACTGTCTGGAGGGTACTAGGCAGTACCGACACGTACTGCTCAAAATACACAAAGGCGGGATGGTAGGCGAACACGTCTGCTGGTGAGTCGTCTGCTACCTCTCTCATCCGGGTCATCAGGTTGGCCTGGTCATTCGAGTCGGTCACCTGATACAAAAGTTGGATGTGGTGACCTTTGTTTTAGGGTCATGGGATAGAGAAAGTAGGATGTGGTGACCTTTGTTTTAGGGTCATGGGATAGAGAAAGTAGGATGTGGTGACCTTTTTTGGGGTCATGTGACAGAGAAAGTAGGTTGTAGTGACCTTTTTTGGGGTCATGGGTCATGGGACATAGAAAGTAGGATGTAGTGACCTTTGTTTTGGGGTCATGGGACATAGAAAGTAGGATGTAGTGACCTTTTTTGGGGTCCTGGGACAGAGAAAGTAGGATGTAGTGACCTTTTTTGGGGTCATGGGACAGAGAAAGTAGGATGTGGTGACCTTTTTGGGGGTCATGGGTCATGGGACATAGAAAGTAGGATGTAGTGACCTTTGTTGGGGTCATGGGACAAAGTAGGATGTAGTGACCTTTGTTTTGGGGTCATGGGACAAAGTAGGATGTAGTGACCTTTGTTGGGATCATGGGACAGAAAAAGTAGGTTGTAGTGACCTTTTTTGGGGTCATGGGTCATGGGACATAGAAAGTGGGATGTAGTGACCTTTGTTTTGGGGTCATGGGACAAAGTAGGATGTAGTGACCTTTGTTGGGGTCATGGGACAGAGAAAGTAGGAAGTGGTGACCTTTTTTGGGGTAATGAGTCATGGGACATAGAAAGTAGGATGTAGTGACCTTTGTTTTGGGGTCATAGGACAAAGTAGGATGTAGTGACCTTTGTTGGGGTCATGGGACAGAGAAAGTAGGATGTGGTGACCTTTTTTGGGGTAATGAGTCATGGGACATAGAAAGTAGGATGTAGTGACCTTTGTTGGGGTCATGGGACAAAGTAGGATGTAGTGACCTTTGTTTTGGGGTCATGGGACAAAGTAGGATGTAGTGACCTTTGTTGGGGTCATGGGACAAAGTAGGATGTAGTGACCTTAGTTTTGGGGTCATGGGACAAAGTAGGATGTGGTGACCTTTTTTGGGTCATGGGACAGAGAAAGTAGGATGTTGTGACCTTTTTTGGGTCATGGGACAGAGAAAGTAGGATGTGGTGACCTTTTTTGGGTCATGGGACAGAGAAAGTAGGATGTAGTGACCTTTTTTGGGTCATTGGACGGATAAAGTAGGATGTAGTGACCTTTTTTTGAGGTCATGTGATAGAAAGTGGGATTCATTGACCTTCATTTCGGGGTCATGTAACTTAAAGTAGGATTCATTTCGGTATCATATGACAGAAAAAAATAGGATTTATTGACCTTCATGCTGAGGTCATTTGACAGAAAAAGTAGGATTCATTGACCTTCATTTTGAAAAAAAAAATCGTCTTTAAAATACAGGTATAACAATTTAGCAACAGCAGGCACATGAGTGTTGGGGGGGGGGGGGGAAGAGAGAGAGAGAGAGAGAGAGAGAGAGAGAGAGAAGCAAATAACTTAACGACCCAGTCTAGACTACGTGGACGAAAAGAGTAAAACAATTTTAGCCACCGCGACAGAGTTTTGAAAACGAGGGCCACTAATTTAGCGACCCAGACAAGCTCCGTACATCACACAAGCTGTGGCCAGTAAATGCCATTTGACGCAGACATGACTGGCGTTAACTGACCCCAAATTAACCAGCCTGGCGCACGGAGCAGGTTCAAGTCCTGCTGTGAAATCATTAATCTAACGTGCAGGTTAACATGTCCGGTGGCGCCTCCGTCGTGCAGGTATAAAAATCCGAGTTTTCCTGGACGGGAAAGTAACTTTACCTGTTGGGGAAGTTATGTTCATGTAGGTCATGTCACACGTCCGAGCTTAACAAGTCGTCGTGGTCAAGCTCAAGAGCTTAAGGCTACAATCCCAAAGGAATTTGGTTCGAGTGGCGGTAATATTTTTTTTTTAAGAGAGTAGGACTTTGGACTTTGTCCCTTGTCCTGAGCTAGATACAAAAAGTCACACGGGTTAGAAGGTTGGCAGGGAAGCGATGAAAAATGTCTCGTGCTTTGGATACGTTATACGTTCATCGTCATCATTTTTTTTCTCGTTCGTGCCCAAGACACATGCTGAAGGTGAAGTAGAGATAATATGTTTCAATGACCGGGGCGTAGGGGGATAATGTGGTCAGCACTATGACCAGCCACCTTAGTTTTCATAACGTGAGTCAGGAACCCATCAGAGCTGTGTAGACTCAGGCACATCCTACAGACACGAGCCCGGGATCCGAACTTTAGATTTCCGGGTCAACAGTCATAGGCTCTACCAACCGACCACGCCATCCCATGCTATACGTTACTGAGCTTGAAAAACTACCGTCTCTGCACAGTTGAATGTTAAAAAAAATAATTTAAACTTACAATATAAAATACTACTTTTTATTTTAAGCGGTTATTCACGGACCCTTGTAGAAATAAAAATAAAACCAAAGGTATTTTACTGTATCTCCTTTGTGTAACAATTCACCATGTCCTCACACGTGAAAAGTACTTACAGACAATGTACTACCTTATATGAGTACACTTGGCTAATGACCTACCTTATATTAAACCAGGAAAATGACCTACCTTATATGAGTACACCTGGCAAATGACCTACCTAATATTACTACACCTAGAGAATTACCTACCTTATATGAGTACACCTGGCAAATTACCTACCATATGAGTACACCTGGCAAATGACCTACCATATGAGTACACCTGGCAAATGACCTACCATATGAGTACACCTGGCAAATGACCTACCATATGAGTACACCTGGCAAACGACATTGCTTATGTACACCTGGCAATTGACCTACCATATGAGTACACTTGGCAAATGACCTACCTTATATGAGTACACCTGGCAATTGACCTACCTTATATGAGTACACCTGGCAAATGACCTACCATATGAGTACACTTGGCAAATGACCTACCTTATATGAGTACACTTGGCAAATGACCTACCTTATATGAGTACACCTGGCAACGTGAGGCTGTGATGGTCATATTATCTGGCCCGAACACAATGTCGTTGTAAAACCTGGGGTTGTTGCTGAGAAAATCACGGAGTCCCGAGAAGAACGCGTCATCACTTGTTGTGTTGTAGTATGGCGTTTTGGCAAGGTTGAGGAGCCAACAGCTGTCTATGAGGGGGTCGATAGTACTGTCCTCTTGGGCTTTGGTGAACAGGTCCTGAATGTCCTAAATAGAGATGAAAGAGGGACATTTAACTTTGGTGTAGAGGTCCTGAATGTCCTAAATAGAGACCAAAGAAGGACATTTAACTTTGGTGAAAAGGTCCTGAATGTCCTAAATAGAGATGAAAGAGGGACATTTAACTTTGGTGTACAGGTCCTAGATGTCCTAAATAAGGACAAAAAAGAGACATTTAACTTTTGGTGAACAGGTCCTAGATGTCCTAAATAAGGACAAAAAAGAGGACATTTAACTTTGGTGAACATGTCTTGAATGTCCTAAACTTTTGGTGAAATGTCCTAAACAAGGACACAAGAGGGACATTTAAGTTTTGGTGAAATGTCCTAAACAAGGACACAAGAGGACATTTAACTTTTGTTGAACAGGTCCTGAATGTCCTAAACAAGGACACAAGAGGGACATTTAATTACTAACTTTTATTCTTGTTTTAAATGTGTTTCTTGCAACCAGCTATTGAGCTATAGTTAATTCATCTTGCTATTTATTCAGATAGCCTACTCTGAAATTGCTAGCTCAAAAATTCTAAGTTCGAATACTGGCCAGCAATGATCTTGATTTTTAATCTTCAGACATCACTCGGCAACTTCAGCTGCATTACATATCCAGCATACATTGGACATACACCTCATTGTATGCCGCGTTTATAAAAAAATATTTAACGACAGACTGTCTTGTTTTTATAAATGATATCTCAGATGTTATTATTACATTAGCATACATTTAACATAAACAGATTTGATTTACAAACCATGTTGACACATACAAATTTGATGTCAGTTTGACTTTGTCAATGCCACACGCATCAAAATTTTTACCCGCTTACAAATGCGCTATAAATACCCTTTTATAATGTGGCGTTTTATTTTTATTTTTATACTTTTAGGAGCAAGAAACAGATTTCTCATGCAGCAGACAAGGTCAGTGTATAACAGCACCTGACATCAGACCTGCACTTTACAAGGTCAGTATATACAGGCACCAGACACTCACACCTTAACCAAACAACACACACCACCAGTGTATACCAGCACTTGACATTGAAACCTGTACAGACAAGGTCAGTGTATACAGGCACCAGACACCCACACCATTACCAGACACCCACACCTGTACCAGACACCCACACCCACACCCAACACACACACACCACCATTACGCACCTTTAAAGTCGTCTCGCTCCTGTAATCTTTTGTTGTGGTCGTGACAAACGATATGGGCAGCTTGACCCCGAAATCTTTCGTGTCCCAGATCTAGGACAAAATTATTTCCTTTAATTAGAACATGAAATATCTAAAAATAAATTTTAATTAGACCATGAAATATCTAGAACAAAAATAATTTCTTTAATTAGACCATGAAATATCTTGAACAAAAATATTTTTTAAAAAATTAGACCATAAAATATCTAGAACAAAATTTATTTATTTTTAAATTAGACCATGAAATGTCTAGAACAAAAATAATTTCTTAAATTAAACCATGAAATATTTCAAAGCATGCTCGTGATGTATGAGTTTTACCACTCTAAATTTAGAAGGCAATAATTAAAATTTTTAAAAGATTAGTTTTTCAACCTGCATATGTTTTGAAAGCTATGAAATCTTTTTTTTTTAACTTAATTTTTTTTTAAAGGGTAAGACGCGGAGATCTAGTATTAAATTAAAATAAACGGGTAGGGTAGTTATTCATTTTTACTTTCTCGTATACAGAGTGTGGAGGAATTATTCTAATCGTGCTGAATAAATAAAAGATATTTTGACAGTTTTCGCCGTTTTACACCTCCCTACTTTATCATATACGGAACATAAAGGCTGCATTTTAATCGAGCAAAAAAATCTAAATAGAGATTATTATAAACTTTAACGTTTTACATTCTTCGAGAGTTGAATAACTTAATTTGGCTATTTTGTCCGTTTCAGTTACGTTGATTACATTTTATATAAAAGTATTCTTTCAAATTTGTATCTCTGTATCAATTTTTGAGCGATTTCCATAACTGGAAGTGGTACATATTCTACTTCCGGTTTCATAAAAGCCAATAACTAGAGCGCCGTTTAAGTTGAGTAGACGAAATTTAATTTGTATTCAATGTATTTCATATACATATTCAATTGTGTGAGCAGTATTCTTTCTATTTTTTGAACGATTTCAGGTGACCGGATGTGGTCCGTTATTCTATTTCCACGTGAACATTTTAACTTGAGTACTGTTTCATTTTGGTTACATATAGAAGTATAGGATCGTTTACTTGGATTATATTTAGTTGCACGATAACAATACTTTCGCTATACTTCGTATGCAAGAAAGTCAAAATTAAAATATACAGAAAAATGTCCTGACCTGGTATTTGTGGAAGTAGGAGGACGTTAGGACCAGGTCCTTCAGGTCTAGTCCCTGACGTAGCTGGGTGCACCCCCAGACTGACACGCCCAAATAGCCAGCAAAGATAAGCAGGATGACAAACCTCATGGGTTTCCACAGGATAAACCTAGATGGTAAGTCAGAATGTTGAGTATAATTATTCTGGCAAGACACTGAATGATCAACATAGAGGGCTAGACATGAGCTATATGTATAAGGGACTGTGTATTATTATCTTGCTTTCCTTACTTTCCCCAAATGAAATCAGGTGCCTAGCAGAACTGTGACCGAAGCCCGGGAACTGAACCCTAAACTATCAGGTTAGCCATGAAGGGCTCTAGCCACACACTCTCTCTCACCATAACACGAGAACATTAGGTCTGCTTTGTCTCGAGAACACGGCCGGGATCGTTCTAAATCTTCCCGAAACTCAAATATGGAAATTAAACCCTTACTTAACAGTAAGCAGCAACTTGGATTTAGTAAAGCCCCTTTTAATAGCCTCAAATAACACAAAACGTATTAGCTCCTATAGACATGTAGTGTTGTTAAAATGGACAAAGCCCTAAATGTAGAGAGCAAACCCTAGACATGTAGTGTTGTTAAAATGGACAAATTCCTATTTGGTGAGATAACCCAAAACGTTTTAGTCCCAATAGACATGTAAAGTTGTTAAAAAGACAAAGCCCTACTTTGTGAGAGCATATTTAGGCCCCTTCTCGCACAAGCTCTGGTCGTCATTTGGGCCTTTGGGCACCGTCCCCCCACACATGCACACGTAACAACACTTGTGGCCCTCCCTGCTCAGCTCTGCACGCGACTTGGGCACCGGCTTGCAGGTGATGGTGTGTCTGCTGGCGTACACTCGACGCCCGTGGAACGTCAAGCACGCCCCGAAGAACGTCGCGTTGCAGATGTAGCAGAGCAGAACTCCAACACCTGCGGATGTGGGGTTTTAAAATTTTGACGTTACTTTCTTGCACTTTACCAGAGTTTCCGGGTTACTTGAACACATCAACTTCAAACTTAAGCTTTTCATGTGACGTTAAACATTCATGACCTCAAAAGTTAAAATAATGTTCTTGAGGCTGGACGAGGCTAATCTGGGGCATGTTTTTTAAAAGCGTACTTTTAGCAAGGGGAGATAAGATTTATAGGGGAAGGGACACGAAGATCTTGTGACTTACCAGTGTAGATGCAGAAATTTTTGACGCTCCTGAAGACGCTCATAGATCCAACGGCAAAGGCGAGGAAGTCAGTTACTGAAATAGGGAACGAAAAAGTCTTTGAGTTGAAAGTCAGTCAAAGAAAAGGTGAGAGAGAGAGAGAGAGAGAGTCTTTGAAGTTTTTGACTTTGGTTGAAAGGAAGTCAATAAAAGGATCATATAAGAATGTAACAGACATCTGTGTATTTTGAAAATCCACCCAAATCTTATCTCTTAGCATTGGGTACGGCGTAGTCGTGCGAGATAGCGTATGTTTGTGTACTACAGAAGTCTCAAGTTCGGACCCTCCGGGCTGATGAGGCTCGTTAGCAGGGGACAGCAATTCCATCGAGGAGGGACAACTCCTAAATGAAACTACCACTGGCTTGTAGATTGTTCTCAGATGGACATCGGCAATGGAAGCAAATCCAGAAAGAGAAGAGGCTCAAGTCCGAAAAAACGTGCCATATGGCGCATAACATGTTGACAAGTAATACTTTGTGTTGGAGCAAATCTCCAATATTACAATAAGAAATATACCTTAGTATATATATGGGAAGAACCATATTTATAAACCTAAATACGCCCAACCTAATAGAGATACACAACAAAGACAACCGTACCTAAGCATTTAATTTGAAAAGGCCCTTCACTATTTAAAAGTAAAGATTTCTCTTTGGACCTAGCGCTGTATATAAGCAGATGAAATAGAGTTCATATGTTTTTTTGAATGGATGGTGTGGTCAGCATTATGCCTTAACTTTCCCCAAGTCAGGTACCCCTCAGAGTTTTCCCATCTATATAGCAGCTTACTATTGACTTCAAGACTAATCTGATAGGGGTTGAAGATTATCCTTAAACAAAAACCCAGGTGTAAAGTCAGCAGTACCTGAAGTGATTGTGATAAAAAAACAGGTGTAAAGTCACCAGTACCTGAAGTGATTGTGATAAAAAAACAGGTGTAAAGTCACCAGTACCTGAAGTGATTGTGATAAAAAAAACAGATGTAAAGTCACCAGTATCTAAAGTGATTGTGATAACAAAAAAAGCCAGGTGTAAAGTCTACCTGAAGTGATTGTGATTCCAATGCCAGCCTTTTTGAACACGTGCCCTATCCTCTCCTCCACAGAAATGTCTTTGAGTGCCGTTGTCTCACTCCATGTGCCCATCAGCAGAAACATGTCGTCAACTCCAATACCTAATTAATGACATGGACTTTAGTTAAATACACATATCGTCCACTCCAATACCTAATTAATGACATGAACTTTAGTTACATACACATATCGTCCACTCCAATACCTAATTAATGACATGGACTTTAGTTAAATACACATGTCGTCCACTCCAATACCTAATTAATGACATGAACTTTAGTTACATACACATGTCGTCTACTCCAATACCTAATTAATGACATGGACTTTAGTTAAATACACATGTCGTCCACTCCAATACCTAATTAATGACATGAACTTTAGTTACATACACATATCGTCCACTCCAATACCTAATTAATGACATGGACTTTAGTTAAATACACATGTCGCCCACTCCAATACCTAATTAATGACATAGACTTTAGTTAAATACACTTGTCGTCTACTCCAATACCTAGTTAATGACATAGACTTTAGTTAAATACAGATGTTGTCCACTCCTATGCCTAACAAATCACATGGACCTTTGTTAAATACACTTGGAAGATACCGGCGGTTTAATATAATATACTACAATGTAAAGAAACTGACTGATATTATAATTTTTATAGTTATAGTTAATTTAGCATGTGATATTTTAATAAATAGATAAAACACACATTCATACACACACATACACACCGCTAACTAACAACTTATAACTTTTCACAAACATACACACACACACACTCTCTCTCTCACACACACAGAACTTACCAAGAGTCAGAAACGGTATGACGCCGACGATGTTCACAAACTTGACCCCTTTCCCCTCCCCTCCAAAGAGAACTTACCAAGAGTCAGAAACGGCATGACGCCGACAATGTTGACAAACTTGACCCCCACCAGCGTGATGAGACCAAAAGCTCCCATGATGCCCAGCAGAGCCGCCAGAACCCCGGCATTGGCCAGCAGAGCTCGCGTCGATACACAGTCGCCACCTGGTGGAGTTATAGGTCAAACATTACACGGCTTCTCCAGTCATCTTTCTAACACGTTGATTATGCTAACAGAGCTCTTTGTTTTGATCCACAAGGACCGAGACAAAGTGCAGCACAAAAACACATAAAGAAAATCGTTGGAGGAAGACTAAAAAAACACACAAATATTATAGGAAAGAGTGGGAAAGAAACGGAAAATAGCAAAAGACAGAAATGAAAGGGTCTTATAAATGGCCTATGCTCCATTGATAGTTGAAAATGGCAAAGAAGAAGAAGTCGGGTGAGTTCCAAAGTATCCCAGGAGCATATTAAAAACTGTCTAAATTGTTTTTATTGCATTGATTAGATACGTTTGATAGCTGTTTGTGTGTGATTCTTCAGTTTGCCGTGGCATAAATACGCTAGAAGCGTACGAGGAACTTCCGTTACATTATCGTATGCTTGAAGCATTAGTGGAGCAAGAGTTTCGGGAAGGTGGAAATGGGTGGAAAGGTGGAAATGAGGAAACCGGCAACAAGTATTACCAGACAAGGCACTTCATGGAACACATAAGAATCAAGAAAAAGCGTGATGTTAAAAAAGACTTGGCGCAGAGAAAAAGACTGGCAAATTATGGAAAACAGTGAGAACAAAATGAGAAATATCACAACGGACAGAAAAGTGTGGAAGGATATTGTAAACAGTCTATGTTATAATTACTTGGAGTTGAAAAGGGCGAAGAAGAAGAACATACCTAAAAAGTTGCGATTATTACCTGAGCTAACGATGGAAGCGTAGGTTATCATCAGTGTAAAGGTGAGCGAGAAATACAAGATGTCTCCAGATGTTCCTTTGTCCAGTTCCAGACTCAACGATTGAGAAATGGCGTAGGAATACTAAAGGGGAGAAAAGAGTTCCAATGTCAAATTTCCTAGTGTGTTAGCATTCACTAATAAACATATTTGATTTTAAAGGAATTTTTTTTTTAATTAATGTTTTGGAACAATTGGAGTGTGGAAACTTGGCTGAGGCGATATGGCAACAGGTCTTAGCGGCTAATTTTTGTGCTCAGAATCTCGGCATTTGTAAAGGGCTTCTGCCAGATTTGTATATGTAAAGCCCGGCGAACTGGCTTAAAAGATACAAGTACCATCGTTACTACCATTCGTCTGGTCCGGGTGCTCGGACAATATTTCATAAGATTTCATGGATTTATAAGTTTGATTAAATCTCTGGTTGTTTTCTAAGTAGTTTTACATGAAAACTCATTTTCCAGCTTCTTGCGCCTGCTATTATCTGTTTACTTATCCACAGTGTTTCTTCCAGACTTTTTTCTCCGGGGGGGGGGGGGCACTTGAAATTTTCGGGGGGGGGGGGGGGCGGTAGACTTTCTTCGGGGGGCGGACACTGTTAAAAGTATATATTTTCTATACAAATTATATGAATTTCATTTCGTTCGGGGGGGGGGGGGGGCGGTAAAAAATTTTCGGGGGGGGGGGGGGCGAAGAGATGACTGGAAGAAACTCTGCTTATCCAGTCTGGTGTGTTCTATAAAGTTTTCAAGTCTTTTGCGTTTTGTTAAACTAAGTGAAATGTTTTTGTTGTAATGTGGTTAGCGTTTGAAAATAAGCTAAATAAAACGCTAAAAATTGGGACATGTGTCGTTTAGAAAATAGTTAAATCTGCTAAAAGACAATTAACTGAGAACGCCAGTCTCGATTTCATTTAAATATCTGAGTAACAAGTCTAGGACGGCTTGGTTGGAGGGCGGAGCTTAAGTCTCGAGGTCATGTCCTTGTCCTGAGTCCGTGGGAGGACCTTGTGAATGGTACATGACTTATGTAAGGGAGACTAGTATGTCATGCAGAGGTCAAGAAACATATGAACTCTACTTCATCTGCCACATTAATCGTCAGGTAAGAAGGGTAAATCATACTTTAGTAACAAATATGTATACATGTTTATATATAAATAACAAAACATTAATACAAAAGACAAACAGGGGTATGTTGAAAGGTCAAATCCCTAGCGGTTAGAGTTGAGAGGTCAAATCCTTAGCAGTTAGAGTTGAAAGGTAAAATCCTTTGCGGTTAGAATTGAGAGGTCAAATCCTTAACGGTTAGAGTTGAGAGGTCAGGTCATTACCTCCACTGTGCTGAAGTTGGCTCGTTTCATAAAATCAGCAAATTTGAGTTCCCAGTCGAGGGAGAGCTTCTCAACCTCTGGGTTGTCCTGTCTGAGCGGGAAGGCGAACTTAATGGAGCCAGCAGATCTGAGGAAGCCGTCTGCCGTCACGTTGACGTCACTCAGGTACAGGTTCAGGTCGAGGGCGGCCATCGTGGCCCACACTGGGTAGGTGACTGTCCCCATCTGGAGCATCGATCTAGAACAATTCGATGGCGAGGTACATTTATAACATTGTTAACTTAGTCTCATTATTGTCGTTTATCTGTTAAACTTAAGATACAATTTTCTATTTCTATAACTCAACATATTTGATAAAAACTTTTATTGGAAGCTTTATAAACACTTAAAATTTAAAACATAGTTAATGATGTTTTGACAATATGCCTACTTCAGCTTGTGAAATAAATACAAAATCATTCTACCTAGATCTAAGTTAACTAACGATTAATATATAAAAACAAAATTAGGAAAAGTATTGTTGTTGATAATAAGGTTTACGATGCGCTTTTATTACAATAAAATTAATTTTAAAAATGCCATGAGGACGTAGTTTAAAATAGAATGATAATAATACGAACATAAAATAAGGAGAAAAGACGAAGTCCCCATCCACTGCGCATGCGCCTTCTCTTCGCACGCACAGATCGTTGTACGTGTAGTTCTTGCCGCTTTTTGTTATGGTCAAGCTCATGGCTTCTCTGTAGAACGTCTGCAATACAAAGTCTCATTAGCAGCCGATTAGGATAAGGGAGTATGTTAAAGAGTTTGGTGTTTCATGAAATTTAGGGAAAAAGTTTAGTGTTTCATGAATTTAGGGGAAAAGTTTGGTGTTCCATGAGATTTGGGGGAAAGTTTGGTGTTCCATGAAATTTGGGGGAAAAGTTTGGTGTTCCATAAAATTTGGGGAAAATGTTTGGTGTTCCATGAGATTTGGGGGAAAAGTTTGGTGTTCCATGAAATTTGGGGGAAAAGTTTGGTGTTCCATAAAATTTGGGGAAAAAGTTTGGTGTTCCATAAAATTTGGGGAAATAGTTTGGCGTTCCATGAGATTTGGGGGAAAAGTTTGGCGTTCCATAAAATTTGGGGGAAAAGTTTGGTGTTTCATAAAATTTGGGGAAAAAGTTTTGCGTTCCATGAGATTTGGGGGAAAAGTTTGGCGTTCCATAAAATTTGGGGAAAAAGTTTGGTGTTTCATAAAATTTAGGGAAAAAGTTTAGTGTTCCATTGCATTTAGGGAAGTTTGGTGTTCCATTAAATTGGAGAAGTACTATGACATTTCAGAAATAACTTTGGTATTCTATGACATTTTGAGAAAAACTTTGGGATCCTTTTGAATTTAAAAAAATTGTTTTTGTGTGACTTAGATGCTAATTATAAGCCAAGAGCTAAATCATTATAAGCTTATGAAATATAATTAGCATTATGTTTTGCTTGAAAATAAAGTAAAAGTTGTTTTTTTTTTCATTTTTCCAGCTTTGAGGTCAGACTGTGACCTTGCGACACCCTACTGATAAAGAAATGTCTGTGGCAAAAAAACATTTCTCAAAGTGGACAAGACCGTGATGACGGTTGAAATATGGAGACAGCTCATTTCTCGCGAGCTTTCATAAGAGGGGCGAGAGTAGGTCAAACCATGTTCCCTTATATAAGGGAGCCCCCGTAAATCACATCCTTCCCCCCTCCAGACAACTAGAGTTCACGGCCAGCGGTCAACCTATTTCTCTGACCCCTATAAGACAAAGTTTACCTGACATCTATACTTAAGGACGCTTGTACTAAAACCAAAAGTTTACAAGCTGTGACTGGAATGTGACGTTTTATTCACGGGAAAGTTATTTTTAGAAAAAAAAATGGCGGAAGGAGATTGGCACGTTTACCCCTAAATATTTAAACTTTAGGTAAATGACTTTATAATTAACCCTAGGCGCCAAAAATATTTGTAAAGTACAGCATAATAACAACCAGGAAAACATATGTGGTTTAGTTAAGCTTTCACATAATATTCTAATTAATACAACAGTTAATTTAGGCGACAAAAAGATTTGTAATATACGGCACATTTAACAAAATGCGATGGTTTATTCAGCTTTTACATAGGATAAGAGTTGAATGCGAGGTTGATAAACAGGAACATGTACAACTTGTGTACAACAACAAGTACATGAACGAAAATTGTAGTTATGTAAATCTGTTTTCTGTTATGCAACTACACGTTTATGTAACTGTGTTTTTCTGTTATACAACTACACGTTTATGTAAATAAAGGTCATTGAATTCAATTCTATATTTATTTATTTTAATTTTATTTTTTATCTATTTAGAGTAATAAGTTTTATAAATGTTGGAATTACTTTTTTAGTTATATAACTTTTTTCTGCTTCATAATTAAAAAAATGTATGTAGAAAGAGGTAACTGCATTTCATTTTAAATTTAGTTTAGAGTTTAGTGTTGTATTTACTAAGTAAATCAATATTCTCTTCAGATATTTTACTCGCTCCTTATCTTTCATCCCCCACACCCCAATCTATATTTTTGCTTGGGTCAACATGAGGGTCAGGGGGTTAGACCCCTCCCCCATCCCCGAATTCCCCACCTACTGCAAGACAGTCCAGCATCGCATGAACAAGCAGCTGAGTATCGTATGCCGTGTTTCTTCCAGATTTTTTCTCCGGGCCGAGGGGGGGGGGGGGTCACTTGAAATATTTTTGGGGGGCGGACTAAATTTTCGGGGGGGGGGGGGGGGCGGACGCCGTTAAAAGTATATATTTTCTATTTGAAATCCATTTCGTTCGGGGGGGGGGGGTAGGCTTTCTTGGGGGGGGGGGGGGGGGAGATGCCTGATTGTAATGACCTTTAACACACTGGTTGCATTGTCTTTTCAGCTCAAAAAACCCGCGCATTAATTGTATAGTGCTGTTCTCTTTACGCAAAATATTTCACGATTTCCTACACACAATCTTTCAGTCAAATGATCGTAGATTGTGGGAGGGGTGGGGGTGGAGGGGGGCTCAAACTTAGCGAGATCACGGTAACAATTTAATGAAAACATATCTCTTGATGTAGAACATGGGACGTCACTCTTGAGTCAGGTTATGAGTGTAGTATCATGACTGTGACGGATATGACAGCGAAAAGACGTCATTGTGATTTATTGTTTTCTCGTCAAGAACAGAGTTGTATAGGAGGTGGTGTGGCCATTTTTGTTGTGGTATTTCTTGGTAGTTTGGGGGTGAGTATATGCGTGTGTGTGGGGGGGAGGGGGTGAGGGGGGGGGGGTAACGGTCTTTGTGCAAGGAAAGTAGAGTCTCTGTTTCTGTAACATTGAGTTAGGTACCCATCAGAGCAGGGTGAACTCAGGGACGTTCTACTGACCTGAACCCGGATTCGAACTCGAGACTTTCGGGTTAGCAGCCTAACGCTCTAATCGCTAGTAGACCATGACCTCTTGGACACAGTTAGTCCAAGACTGAGCGTGCGCCAGTGTGTGCCCGTGCTTGTGTGTATGTGTCTCTGTGTGTGAGTCTGTGTCTGTGTGTCTGTATCTGTGTGTATGTGTGTGTATGTGTGTATATGTGTGTCTGTGTGTGTCTGTGTGTATCTGTGTGTGGATGTCTGTGTGTGGATGTCTGTGTGTGTCTGTGTGTGTCTGTGTGTGTCTGTGTGTCTGTGTATGTCTGTGTGTGTCTGTGTGTGTCTGTGTGTGTCTGTGTGTGTCTGTGTGTATGTGTCTGTGTGTATGTGTCTGTATGTGTGTCTGTGTATCTGTGTGTATATGTGCATGCGTGTCTGTGTGTCTGTGTGTGTCTGTGTTGCTGTATGTGTATGTGTCTGTGTCTGTGTGTCTGACGTGTCTATGTGTGTCTGTGTTTGTGTCTGTGTGTGTCTGTGTGTCTGTATGTATGTCTGTGTGTGTTTGTCTGTGTTTGTGTGTCTGTGTCTATGTGTCTGTGTGTCTGTGTGTGTATGTGTCTCTGTATGTGTGTGTGTGTGTCTGTGTGTGTGTGTGTGCTTACCTTCAGCTCCTCCAGGACCGGGTCCGTCAACACGGCCCGGGGCCCCTTACTTCTGAATATGACGATACCCTGGGCCACCAGCCGGTTGGCGCTGAAAGGGTCAAAGTTGTCGCCGGAGAGGTCGGGGAAGGTCGCCACCACAAGGTCACGGTCCTTGACCGCTCGGGAATCTTCAGGGGCGTACAGGGTTTCTGTGGGGGGGGGGGTAAGAATCAATGTTAAAAAGTCATTATGTTTAAATGTTAAGCACATGTAAACGATATATATTGAGAAAGGATTGAATATTCTGTCAGATACATAGAGAGGTTCAGTAGTAGAGCACATGATTAAAAATTGTAAAGTCTTGAGTTCGATTTTCTGCTAGGATGTATTGGGTAAACTCAGCACATATGGATACCCAGCATATATTAAAAAACGCTGTGTGAATAGATATCGACACTGATAGAAACAGTTGCAAGAAAATGTGGACAATGGAGAAAATTATTTTGTAGTGGTTCTGTCGTATTGACGATCAGAGGTTAATTTTAATTATAATATCTTGGAATAAAGGGAACACGTTATTTTGTATAGTTGTGTCCTAAAATAACGGAAGTAATTGTTTAAATGGAAATGATTATTTTTTCAAAAAATTCGTATGTTCTAAATGAGAAAAAATTAGGGGAACTCTACTTCGCCTGTAATATAGACCAACGATTCTCCTCTGAAATGTTTGTTTTCTGCACTATATGGTACAAGAGTGATTTGATGACTACGAAGCAAATAAAGAAACACGTTTTTTACAACTCCTTCAAGTGAAGGACAAAAACAGTTTGTACAACGAGCAACGTACCAATGTCATTCTCTGGGTCGTAACGTATGAAACCAACGGCCAACCCGGCACACACGACCGCTGGGATGACCAGGAACCAGATCGGGTGTTTGGCCAAAAAGTAGCCGTAGTTGTAGAACCCACGGAGCAGCAGACGATGGCAGTCCCAGACACACTTCATCTCTGTAGGCTAGTGTAAGCCAGAGTCTGTGGGGGGGGGGGGGGGGGGGGGGACGACGACACAAGCAGGCTTCTTTAGATTAGTTGTGAGAGGTCATCGAAAATAAATTATAAATGAGAGGTCGTCAAATTAATTGTAATGAGAGTTCATCTAATTAATTGTAATGAGAGGTCATCAAATTAATTGTAATGAGAGGTCATCAAATTAATTGTAATGAAAGGTCAGCTAATTAATAATAATGAGAGGTCATCAAATTAATTATAATGAGAGGACATCAAATTAATTATAATGAGATGTCATAAAATTAATTATAATGAGAAGTCATCAAATTAATTATAATGAGAGGTCATCAAATTAATTATAATGAGAGGACATCAAATTAATTATAATGAGATGTCATAAAATTAATTATAATGAGAAGTCATCAAATTAATTATAATGAGAGGTCATCAAATTAATTATAATGAGAGGACATCAAATTAATTATAGTGAGAGTTCAGCTAATTAATTATAATGAGAATGCGTCAAATTAATTATAAGAAAAATGTGTCAAATTAATTATAATCAAATTAAGTATAATAAGAATGCGTCAAATTAATTAAAATGAAAGTTCATCCAATTATTTATAGTGTGAGTTTATCAAATGATTTATCGTGAGATTTCATCAAGTTAATCATCATGAGATTTTATTAAATTAATCATGAACAGATTTTATTAAATTAATTATCACGAGAGTTCATCAAACTAAGGATGATCAGAATTCATTAAATGAATCTTTTTGAAACATCAACAATTAATTTGTATGATGTTTCTTCAAGTTAACTGTGTTAGACTTCATCAAATAAATTATCGTTTGATTTCATCAAATTAATTAATATGAGATTTCATCAAATTGTTTATCATGAGAATTCATCAAATTAATCATGAAGATACTTCATCAAGTTAAGGATCATGAATTTCTCTCGACACTAATTATTGTAGTGACGAATCAATACATTATATTATTATACAAAGAGCAAATCTTACCTTATCTTCTCTGTTGTCTCCCTTGAAATGAAATTCGCTCCTTCCTTTTTGAGTCAGAAAATTCTTTGGTCTCCGGATGTACTTGTTACCTGGCAATATAAATACACCATGACTAAATTAAATTAACCGTAGCTGGATTTACTAGAGAAATAACTTCCTCGACCACATACATCTAGGATAAAAACAATCAGCACATGAATAGTTATACGTGCGTAGGTTAAAATAAACTAATTAAAATTAATATCTACATTTGATTATACCGGAAAATTAATTAGAAACAAAATTATAAAACTTGAGAACGCAATGAAAAAAAAACCCACAGTTATCACGATGTTGGCAATATAATTTTAACCAATGATGACCTATGCTGAACATGTGATGCCATTAAAATACATGTCTGTTGGCGTAATTTTATGTAAAAAAAAAACTCTAAAAATTCCCAAATCACACTTTTATTCTTAAAATCACTTTTTTAATTTAAAAAGTCTTCTGATAATACCAACAACAACAACCACAGCAAAAAAATAAATAAATAAATAAATAAAATAATGTATTTAGAACTGTTACCTTTGTTAAAACATACACAAAATTAAATCTTTTAATCCGTGGTTATAAAATGATTATTGTTTTCTCGAAAATCTAATTTTATCAAAAAACAAAATTTAAAAAAAAGTTTGTTTTATTAGTTCTGAATTTTCGCATAACCCCAACAGTCTATTATCATGTTCAATGTGATAAATGATATAAGTAGGCAACAATATTGCGTATATAAGAAGACTTTCATTTAGGGTTCGAAAGTTCGCTAGATTGTAAACAATAGCAGCATAAATTAAAATTTTGTCGTGCGCTCGAGTTCCGGGTAGACGGGGAATTTCCGAAAAACCTGCTGTTCCACTGTCTTGTTGATTAGTCAAAACTGTAAGCGACTTAAGTGTCTGTTGGCGTGTATGTGGTGATACGTTTTACTTACACATTAATATATATATATATATATATATATATATATATATATATATATATATATATATATATATATATATATATATATATATGGAATGGAAAATAGAAATGATTGGGGGAGGGGCACGGGGTGATAATCACAAGGGTGGTAATAACAGAGGTGGTAAGGACAGGGGTGGTAATGACAGGGGGTGGTGGTAAAAGACAGGGGGGTAATGACAAGGGTTGTAGTTTTGGAGTGTAGTGATGTGGGTGGTATTGATAGTGGTGATAATGCCAGATTGGGTGGTACTGATGGGGTTGTACTGATGGGATGGTAGTGATGGGGTGGTACTGATGGGGTGGTACTGATGGGGTGGTACTGATGGGGTGGTACTGATGGGGTGGTAGTGATGGGGTTGTACTGATGGGGTGGTACTGATGAGTGGTATAGACAAGAGCTGTAATGATGGGGTAATGACAGGAGGGGTACTGATACAGACGGAACTGGCATCTAACAAACCGCTACATCCTTAAAGTTGAATCGTGTAGCGGACCCTAGAGTGAAGCTCGCTGCCTGCATGCTAATTTCTGATTCTACGACCTTAACAGGAGCTTAACACTTGCCCTTCCTTGTTTGCAACCAGCATGTTCACGTGTGTGTTATTGGGTTAACCTGACGACTTTTTAAATGTCCTATTTGTGTCGTTATAAACACGGACAATAACTGGCTTAAACCTAAGAGGGGGGGTATAATGTCAGACCAGACGGTCACTTGACAGATACAATAGAGTTCACATTTATTTTTCAATTCCACTGCATACGATGCAATTGTATAACGGTTACATTTTGCCTCATGTCTGTATATTACCCGACTAATGCCAGGTACTCAGTAAAGCTGGGTGAACCCATTGGCACTCTACAGGGGCTACAGACACCAGCCTATAAAAACACTTTAAAAACAACTATCGATACTTCTAAACGAGCCTTAAACGTTACTCTAACCTTAAAACAGCCGTAATCATAACCCTAACCCTAATAGGGCCTTAAACGTAATTGTGACCTTAATAGAGCCTTAAATGTAACTCTAATCTTAATAATTTATTTATCATAGGTGAGGCAATGCTAGTTGTATTAGAACGGGCATAATATCCTCCTTCCATTCAGCCCCCACCCCCCCCCCCCCCCTTCAAATCCCACCCCATTCCACACGTTAGGTTTAAAATCTTGCTACTTATTTGGGTACGGCTATCCAAAAAGCTCCATAATTGTTTATTTAGTTTTGCGTAAGCTCTGTTATTTCTGATGAAGTGCAGGCTTTATCTAATCAAAATGACTAACGTGCGTAATACCTTGAACTAAACTATGTGTACATGTGACTGACATTGGTTCAGAGAGTATAGTCTATTTATATACGTTTTCGTCAGCTGAGTGTTTTGTCTTATGTGAAACATGTCGATGTAAATATCCGGGTCTGGATAAAAATAACTCAGGGCCACCCGCCCTTCAGCGTAATTTGCCGTTTTAAATATTTGCCTTATCAGTAACCTTGACACACACAAAAAAATATGTTCACGGTATCGATTGAACGTGTGACGTAGTACACAGAGAACGCAAATGTACTTTTAACGATTTTCTTGGAAACGTTACGCTGAGCTGTTGTTTACGATTGAATGGGGAAGTCTGATTTAACCGATTTACAGTTAGGCTTAGGGTCACGGGTAATATAACAATTACGGCCATAGTTAAGGCTAGGGTTAAGGTCTATGTCAAGTTGGGTTGGAGAGGTAAAAAATAAATCCATTGATTAAATAATATTGTCAACGCTTGGATGATTTTCTTTTTTTTTTTTTTTTTTTTTTTTTTTTGAGTAAGGATACATTACATTAACTGCAGAAAGGTTGTTAATTTCACCTTTTACCTGTTGTAAAGCCCTAAGCGGACCACATTTTTGTTGCCTGATATGACTATCCTGTATAGCATACGTTTTACATGTAGACAGAGCCGGATTTACATGTTAGCTAGACAAGAACATGTGTTTGTTGTCAAATTTATTTTTTAACATTTTTTTTTCAAACCGTGTTGGAGCCGAGTTCTTTTTCCACTCCAGTAACGCAGGTGTTTTGTTTTGGTCGGCAAACTCCTTTTTAAGAAAATGCAATTATTTGTTTTTGACATACACTATATGGAATTGCAAAAGGCCCCTTCCGAAAATAGCCTAGGATTTTATATTAAATCAAAATCCGATTCTGCAGGTAGAACACGCCTGCATTACCATTTTGTCGAAAAAGAATGACAGAATGGTTTCTAAAAAAAAACTTAACTTGCCTGATGGTCAATGGCGTAGGCAGAGGGTGTTTTCGACCTATATATATATATATATATATATATATATATATATATATATATATATATATATATATATATATATATATATATATATATATATATATATATATTTTTTTTTTTTTTTTTTTTTTTTTTTTTTTTTTTTTTTTCTCACCCACATGATCTATATATTGGATTTTATATAATAAAATATATGGAAGAGAAATATTTAAACACCTTTATGGCCAACTTCTGACTGCATGTTTGTTATGACTAGGATGTTTTTTTTTTTTGTTTTTTTTTTTTTGCGTTAGGCCGTTATTCATAAATGACGTTAAACACATGTGGCGGAGGGGTGTTGTTGACGTCATGGTTTTTCAAGTAAGTGTTTTGAAAACTGAATATAAGCAGTTAGTTCGCATTTTAAAAAGACCTTTATGTAACTTACTATAAAAATAGACAAGTATTCTATTACCTAATTTTTTACTCAGCTTAGTTAAAATTTTTAGTAAAAAATCGGTTAAAAAAAAAAGAAACTATTGGCAAAAATCGTTTCAATCATGGGGTGCACATGGTAGGTGAAGTAGAGTTAGTCTATTTCCCACCTACCGTGTTTCTTTCAGACATGTTTCTCCGGAGCGGGGGGGGGGGGGGGGGAAGAGGGGACTTAAAACTTTCATGGGTGGAGGATAGGGTGGTTTTAAATTCGGTCGGGGGGGGGGGGGCGGAAAGATGCATGAAAGAAACTCTGGCTATTTATCGGCAATACCACCTAGACGGCACTTATGCATGACTTTCTACAGGCAGTTTTGTCTGCACAATTTTTAACTAACGAACATCGAACATCTTATTAACAAACTGCGAACCCTATAATATGTAAGCTTATAGTTTCCCTTTTCAGAACGTAACTATCCATAGGCAGATGAAGCAAAGTAGTATATGTATCTTGACCGTACAATTTGAATGGATAATGTGGTCAGCACAATGCCAAGTCGTTTTACTTTCCCCAACGTGAGTCAGGTACCCATCAGAGCTGGGTGGACTCAGGGACGTCACGAACCGAAATCCGAACTCAAGGTTTTAGGGTTAGCAGTTGAAAGCTCTATAACCCGACCACGCATGCCTAGTTTGGATAAGCGTAATGGAAATGCTCTTAAAATGTATCCGCTTTTTAAGTCAATTGTTTTGTTTTCTATTTATTTAAATGTTTACTCATTGCTTACTCGTTCAACAGACTACGAAAATAACTCGATACAATTAAAACTAAACAGTGCAGTGAGCGTGCTGTTATTGATCTATATATATGATGTTTTATTTTTACCCAGGCAACCTAAGCCCTCCATTGATTAGCTTATAAATCAAAGTAATACATTTACAAATAAATAACTAATATATTAACAATAAAACACTACTAATTTAATTAACAAACCAAATGAAAATTATCTTTACCTTTTTTTTTTCAGGAAAGAAGTGGAAAAAAAATTTAGGCGATACTCAGTGTCGTCACCGCACAGCGCAGGCTGGTTTCTATCAACACCGACATTTTGTTTTACCGCGTCAGGTCGAGCAGAAATGGGCGGTCCTTCCGGCGCGAGGGCGGTATGACCGAGGGCGGAGCGACGAGCTAGTGTTTTTTTTTTCTTTTTTTTTCTTATATAAGTGTGTGAATTATAGTCGTTATGAAATCCTCATCTGATAATAAAATCCTTACCGTTGACATGAAATAGATTGATGTTTGCTTTTAATATCGTTTTGATGACTACCGTGTTTTAGCGCGACAAAAAGACTTGACAAGACTTGAGACTTAAATAGGCCTACGTAGGTGAAGTAGATTCGGTAGAGTACTGGATATTAATTTTCTTATATAACGCATGATTTATGGTTTTAGTAACATTGTGAAAAAATTTTTAACATGAAGTTGGAAAGCAGTGTTTATTTTTTGCAACACCCCCCCCCCCCCCCAACCACTTTATATAACGATGTCAAATACACATTTCCGTTGTATGGTACCGCACAGCAATTACTCTTCGCAAAGCACATTGACCCCTATCGCTAATCTAGCTGTAACCTTGGGGGTCGTTCACATATTAGGTCCCTCGTTTAACCGATTTTACACCCCTAGTCCTGAGCGCCCGCGGTATTTGTTTTTTTTTTTTTCATCATGGGTTAAGCTTACAGGCCTATAAATAAATATATTATAAATTATATATGAATGACGTCATTCGCAAGGACGAGCTTTTGACACTTAACACAGTGGCATAGGCAAGGGGTTAGCTGTGGTTAATCCCCCCCCCCCCCCCACCCCATTTGATCCCCCACCCATTAAAACTTTTCAGAGTCTTAATACCACTTTTTATAAAAGAAAAATACAATTTGTTCCAATGTCCGGCAACTGATCCCCATACTCTATCTTATA